ACCCCCAGCCCCACTCCAGAGCCCGCACCCCCAGCTCTCACCCCCTCACTCACCCCAACTCCCTGCCCCAGCCCGGAGCCCCCTCCTACACCATGAACACCTCATTTCTGTCCCCACCCTGGAGCTTTCACCCCCAGTTAGAGCTCTCACCCCCTCCTGCATCCCAACCCCCTGCCCCAGCCCAGTGAAAGTGAGTGAGGGTGGGGGAGCGCAAGCCCCCAAGGGAGAGGGAATGTAGTGAGCAGGGGTGGGGCCTCAGGGAAGGGGCGGGGCTAGGGTGTTCAGTTTTGTGCGGTTAGAAAGTTGGCAACCCTACTACCCCCTATAGCAGGGGTCGGCAACCTTTCAGAAGTGGTGTGCCGAGTCTTCATTTATTCACTCTGATTTAAGGTTTCACGTGCCAGTGATACATTTTAACATTTTTAGAAGGTCTCTTTCTGTAAGTCTATAATATAGAACTAAACTATTTTGTTGTATGTAAAGTAAATACGGTTTTTAAAATGTTTAAGAAGCTTCATTTAAAAATTAAAATGCAGAGCCCCCCAGATCAGTGGCCAGGACCCGGGCAGCGAGAGTGCCACTGAAAATCAGCTCATGTGCCGCCTTTGGCGCTCGTGCCATAGGTCGCCTGCTCCTGCCCTAGTAAAGTTCTTTCAAGCTGTGAGAAAGGCGATTCCCTGGTGTTTGCTAAAATCCAGATTGATTTGTTCCTGCAGTCTCCTCTCCCTGCCGTGATTCTGAGTGATTATCTCTTCCCCTTGTTAGCTTGATGGTTTTATTTCCTTGTATGTAAATGGATTCCGTGATACCTTGGAAGTACCTTCAAGATAGCTGAACCACATTCCTTTGTCTAGAATGGGGTACTTTCAGCCCTGCCTGGCAGACATATTTTAAGAACATAATTCCCAGGATGTTTGTAATTCCTCAATACTCACACTTCGCAATAATATTAATGATCAGTATGTTGTTAGATTTCTATTGGTATCTTACATGATACCTTTTAGACACCGGTTATGACATTAATGAGTTGGGGTACACTGAACTGCTCAGACCAGCTGACACTCCCTATCAGGGAGCCCCTTGCCCTCTTGCATTGGGATGCTGTTCGGATCACACACACCCAGTCCAACTCTTGTTCCGTCACCATTCAAATCACTACCTGGGCACCAGTGGAGGGGTCACTGAGAGCACTGGAGAGTCAGGCCCCCTGTTCTCAGTTCCAGTTCTTGGAACCCCGCACAGCCCAGAGCAGCTGGAAGCTGCAATTGCAGAGAAAGTCCTTCCCAGCCCCCCGTGTCCCCAGGCTGGAGCATGCTCAGTGTGAACAGAATCTAAGAAGGTTTTAGATGGTAAACTCTAGCAAGTCTCGACTGAGCATGTGAAAACTGTAATTTTTCCAAGGCTTATAACTTGGCCAAATTTTCATAGGGATGGCAAAAGGCACATACCTGACACAAAGGTCACTCCCCTGCCAAATTTCAAGCCCCTGTTCCAAAGCATAGAGGTGTTAGACCATCTCAATGAAAATGTCACCTGAATTTTTTAATGTGGGTAAAACAACATATTTTCCCCTATTTTTGTTGTTAGAAGCAGCTGAACCATTTTGGCTGAAATTTTCCAAACTAATTCAGCCTGAGGCAGACACCCAGTCTGGAAAATTTCAGCCCAAACAGTTCAAATTTGGCAAAGTCATAAGCAACTGAAAACAGAGTCTTATAATGGGAAGTGTTGGGCAACCTTAATTGGGTGGAGCTACCAAACCTGCCTATAATAGTATTAGCGAGTCCTGGCACTGAAAAACTACTGAATGTAACTGGGTACAAACAAGAAGCAGGGAACCAGACATCAAGTTGGAGTCACCTGTTTTAAAGGCTCTCTCTCTTTTCAGGGCCTTCCATTGTGACTCCCCCTAAGGAAACCTGGAATGTCACTGGAGCAAAGATTTACCTGAGTTGTGAAGTCATGGGCATTCCAACCCCAGTGCTCACTTGGAATAAGGTCAGTGGCAAGGGATCTGTTTTTCATGGGTAGCATGGATTATGCCATTTTTATTTACTATAGTACGATATTCTTCACCTCTTGGCGGAGATGGCAGAGGAGCAGAGAGAACTAGTCCGTAAAAAAGAAAGGCAATTTACAGCAAGCTCTGCACTGCTTTTAAAGTGGCAAGAAAGAAGGGCAGTCCCATTCGTGCAAGGATGAGAAAAATACCAAATGCGTTACCAAATCCAACACCACCTGTGAACTGTAGCACTTTCAAAAGGAGAGCTAAGTCTGTTAGACAGCAATTGCAAGACAAAGGCCACCAGCAGAAGGGCGTGTTTATAGTGAGTTTCTCTGGTCAATGACAAAAAAAAAAAAAAGAAGAACATCTTTTTTTCCCATTCCCACTCCCCAATCTGGATTTATTGAATTCCTCCTTCTGCCCCCCAAAACCAATATTTTTTTCTTTTGCACTTTTGTTTATGCTGATAAGAGAAACACAATTATGGTTTGCCATATTAAAGACTGGTGTTAAGAGTAGCTAAAGAATGCTTCCCAATGATCTGTTTTATGCTCATACATGCCTGTGGCTTTGAAAACACTGGCCTTGTGTGCCCAGGTCAGAGTCATAGTAATCCTGCAGTGTTTTTGTTTTCTTTTGTTAGCCTTGAGATGACGCTGCCCCTGGGCTGTGTGGTTAGATAACGCTGGTGGCCTAGGTTTGTTTTTCACCATTAGTTCATAGCAAGAAAGGTGCACAGTCATGTTCAGCTCCAGAAACTGCATCGGAATCTGGCATTGGGACCTCATAGGAGCCTGAAGCCCAAAGCAAGGCAGGTTCCATACATTCACATGTGCGCCTCCTGCTTTGCTGCCTCTTTGGAAGTGATAGGATAGAGAGAAGACTTTGATTTGGTGTTAAATTTCAAACAGAGTGTGCTGGTTAAAATGAAAACAAAAGTGCCATGGTGCAGACTGCATCACTTTTCAAGTTTTCTCAAACCCACAGGCTCTTGGGACCTCTGATGGTTTATAGCCCTTTACAATCAATTTAAATAATGTATATTTAAAACATTTTAAGGAAAATTGTTCAAATAGTGACCCACCTAAATAATAGGGCCAACTACAGACATAGGAGACCTTGTTGTTAGTAAGTGAAATCAGCCGTGGTGTACGTTGTCAGACAGATCTTCAGTGGACCTTTAAAGCTCCACACCTAGCTGTGTGCTCCAGTGTCACCAATTAAAGTTTGGCACAGAGAAACGACAACCTCCTCTCACAGGAAACTGAACATGCCACTCACCAGCACTCTCAGGAACTTACTAGAGCACTGCATGGGAGGAGTGTGCAGGAAGGGCAGAATTAAGCTGCTGTTTTCTGTAAACAAAATAATCATGGAAAGGAATAACATTTACCAACTGAACTGTAGAACTTTGTATGGCACATTGCCAGGTGTAGCTTGTACACCATTAGCTTCACTGCTGATTAACGAGGCAGATCTTTTGTTATCTCCTCCCTCAGCACCAAAAAGGCTGAAAAAACACAAACTACACATCAACAAAGGGGTGTGGTTTTCTGCTCCCAGGCAACATTTCTATCAAGGATCCTCTCAGCTAAGCTGGTCATAGTGTGGCTTTGCACTGTGCATAAGTGGCTAGAAGCTTCACAGTGACAAGCCTTTTTTGCCAGTCTTGCCCATGGCCATCTGGAAAACATCGGTTTTAGGGCAGCAGACGCTCTGGTTGCTGCCTTTGGTTTACTTTGTGCACCATTCTCCTTGGGAAAGTCACATGCCATGGGCCCTGCCCTGGTAACAGCATGTGCAGTGCTAGTTTCCCACTGCTCCAGAGCCCAAAGACCAAGTTTTTTCAAAAGGGCTCAACACCCTGAAGCTTCCACTGAGAATAGAGAATCCAGCCCCACACTCCAAACTATGACTGAGGACAATGGGAGCTGCTGGGCGCTGAACACTTTGAAACTCTGGCCTTGTGGACTGTAGGTGCTACTGAAAAACAGACAGCAGCCACCATGGACAGCCCAGGGAACCACCTTTTCCCATCTTTATACAAGTACTTGCACCATTTCAAGCATTTAGGGTAGGCTCTTCCGAAGTGCTAGGCACTGGCCCAACTCTGCTCCCATTGTAGTCTGTGTCCATTTTACCACTGTCTTCAGTGGGAACAGAGTTAGGGGCAAAGCTGAGTGCTAGAAAGTTGCCTAATAAGGGCTGGTCTACACTACGAGGTTAGGTCAAATTTAGCCACATTAGGGCGATTTAAAAATGACTGTGTCCACACAACCAACCCCGTTCCATTGACCTAAAGGGCTCTTAAAATCGACTTCTTAAAATCCTCCCCAAGGGGAGTAGCGCTAAAATCGACTTTGCTGGGTCGAATTTGGGGTAGTGTGGAGGCAAATCGACCGTATTGGCCTCCGGGAGCTATCCCAGAGTGCTCCATTGTGATCGCTCTGGACAGCACTTTGAACTCCGATGCACTAGCCAGGTACACAGAAAAAGCCCCAGGAACTTTTGAATTTCATTTCCTGTTTGGTCAGCGTGGCAAACTCAGCAGCACAGGTGGCCATGCAGTCCCCCCAGAATTGTAGAGCGTAGAAACACTCCCCTATCATCTCCGTCCCTGAGATTGTCGCAGATTAAAAGGCAAAAAACCACACTCGCGATGACATGTTTTCTGAGCTCATGCAGTCCTCCTGCACTGATAGGGCACAGCTTAATGCATGGAGGCATTCAGTGGCAGAGGCCAGGAAAGAATTAAGTGAGCACGAAGAGCAGAGTCAGGACGTGATGCTGAGGCTAATGGTGGAGCAAACAGACATGCTGAAGCATCTGTTGGGGGAGCTAATGGACATGATGAAGCATGTGTTGGAGCTGCAGGAAAGCCAACAAGAGCACAGACCCCCGCTGCATCTACTGTATAACCGCCTACCCTCCTCCCCATGTGCCATAGCTTCCTCACCCAGACGCCCAAGAACACAGGGGGGAGGCTCCGGGCACCCAGCCACTCCACTCCAGAGGATGGCCCAAGCAACAGACCACATTCTACAGGCCACTATCCTCTGATCCCACTGAGGAATACCAAAAGAAACTACACCATCTACTCAAGAAATTCTCAGCTACAGTATGGGAACAAATCTACATGGACACACCCCCAGAACCCCGACCAGGGGTATTCTATCTGCTACCCAAGATCCATAAACCTAGAAACCCTGGACGCCCCATCATCTCAGGCAGATCCATAAACCTGGAAACCCTGGACGCCCCATCATCTCAGGCATTGGCACTCTTACAGCAGAATTATCGGGCTATTTGGACTCTCTCCTCAGACCCTATGCTACCAGCACTCCCAGCTATCTTCGAGACACCACCGACTTCCTGAGGAAACTACAATGCATTGATGTTCTTCCTGAAAACACCATCCTGGCCACCATGGATGTAGAAGCACTTTACACCAATATTCCACGTGAGGATGGACTACAAGCTGTCAGGAACAGTATCCCTGATGAGGCCACAGCAAGCCTGGTTGCTGAGCTTTGTGACTTTGTCCTCACCCACAACCACTTCAGATTTGGAGAC